TGTGCTGATCATACCCTTGTTTGATATTGTCTTTCCCTTTACCCATATATATGTGGCATTATCTATTTATTATATTTCTTCCCCTCTCCTTCTCCTCCTCCCAGATAAACCATCCAAGAATGAGTATGTTTAAACTTTGTTTAACTTTATAAGATACAATATATGAGAATGATCATATGAAACACAATGTGAATGATGGGATGTATAAAACACAATGTGTATGAATGAAACACAATGTTTATGAATTTTGTATACAAACCACTATAAAATGAAATTTTAAAAATAATTAATGGTGGAAAAATATAGTTCCTTATTTTATATTCAAAGGACTAAAGTCGTATTCTCATTTTTATTGTACCCACCCTTCACTTAATATGGTTAGGTTCCAAAGATCTAGGAGCATTATTCAAAATTAGCATTATATGAAAATTAAGGAAGACCACATCAGACTACACAGTGGAGGAATATTACGCTTACATACACACCAAATTGCACGACTGAGAATTATCACTGTGCCAAGTTAATACCACCACTAGCGTTACTCTCCTTATACCTCAGCATCCTTTACTACCAGATTTATGCCCTTAATGCACAAAATAATAGGATCCTTTTTTGACAGTCACTAACTGAAATGTAATTTTAATTCCATCTAAAATAAATGCAAATGATCCAAAGATTTAGAACCTTAAAATAAGACAATGCTCTCAGAAAGGTAAACTGTCTGAGATTTTTATCAACTTGAAGAGTCTCGGGTCAGAGAGGGAAATGCCAAGTGAAAGAACAGAGATTCATTCAATCTGAGTGAATTTCTGTGATGCTTTTGCCAACAGGAGGTGTTTTCAGGACTCCTTCCTCTTCTCTCCACAGTGTCAGATAATAGGATACTACCAAGAGCATTGTGTGCATATCTATGTAGGTTCTCCAGATCTTCAGCTCTGTGCTTTTCATTTCTCTATGGAGATGCTTCTGTGGACCAATTTTTTCAATCTCAGAAATTTGGTCCTGTTAATGTAGAACTCATTAAAAGGTCTTTCCTAACCTAATCCAGTTACTTGTTAAGGAAGCAAAAATCTGGATTTTCACTCTTTTTTGTCTCAGATTTTCATTTTAGAAGAAGAAAGCATTAAAGAGACAAACATCACTTGTATTTTTAAATCATTCTGGTATTTATGCTCCCCCCCCCTTATTTCTAAAAAAGCTACAGCTATGATGGAGCTCAGATAAGGGTATCTGGTTAGAGAAACTAGAGTTTGATAAATGGCAGGTAGGGAGTGCATCAGGGTTATATTCTATCTCCATACCTGTTCAATCTATATGCTGAACAGATTATCTGAGAAGCTGGACCCTATGTAAAGAGGAATGTGGCATCAGGATTGGAGGAAGGCTGATCAATAACCTGCATTATGCAGGTAACAACATTACTTGCGGAAAGTGAGGAGGACTTGCAGAGCTTCTTGCAAAAGATCAAGGAGTTCAGCCTTCAGTATGGATTGCATCTCATTGTCAAGAAAACAGATTCTTATCACGGGACCAATAGGCAGTGTCATGATAGAGAGGAAATTGAAACTGTCAACAGATTCATCTTGCTTGTCCGCGATTAACACCCTTAATATGAGCAGTCAGGAAATAAGGAGCTGCATTGCAGTGAGAAAATCTTCAGTTAGTGACCTTTCCAAATTATTGAGGAGTACTGATATGTTTGAGGACTAGAGCACTGAACATCCCATGAATGGCCAAGAGAACAAACACATATGTCTTTTTTTTCTATAATTATATTTTATTAATTTTCATAAACATTTACAGAGATTTTGGGTTTCCATTCATCCATTGTTGCACTATTCTCT